ACTCAGGTCCTTCTGACTTCAGGGCTGGTGCTCTATCCACTGTGTCACCTAGCTGCCCCTACAATCTCTATTATTTAGGATTATTTTCCCAGACTTATATTGTCACAAAATGCTAGCTGACCTCCTTCTCTGGCTTCCTTCTTTCCCTCGATATTTTAAGTTAAGTAGAATCTCAATGGACTTGCACTCAGACATCAGTCTGTGGGTTAAGTTTTTGGTTGAATCAATCAAATTTTAGAATACTCACTCTCAGTCAAGTCATTTAGAAGTGAAATAAATTTCTTACAACACACCTCAATACTCAATATAATCTGGTCTAATGGCTTTCTGTCTTGATTTTAACTCAAAGTCCCAGGAATTAGCTATTGGTTTGTGTTTAAAAATAACTTCCTAGAGGAGTTAAATAAGACAGATGGTCTGAGAATGGTTTTTGTTATGTTTTCACGAGCTTAAAAGAAGAAATAAAAAAGAGGAAAAAAGAGAATATTCTAGGGTAGAAAGGAGAAGAAATAAGGGGAGAATTTATTATCTCACATAATATGGTTGCGCAAGTAGTTTATTCACACAAAGAAGAGATGGGGGAAGTTGTTAACATTTGAACCTCACTTTGAACTAGTCAGAGGAGGATAGAATACACACACCCACACACCCACCTACCCACCCACACCCACACCCACACCCACACCCACACCCACACCCACACACACAAACACACACACACAGAGTTTGTTGTACATACACATTCTACTCAACAGGGGGATGAGGAATGGGGGCAGGGATGAGAAGAATAAGAGGGAGAGAATTTTGAGGGAGGGATTAGTTTAAGCAAAATAATCTCAAGTTCAGAAGCAAGATTGTAAATAGAAGTTTAAAAAAAGAAAGAAAGAAAAAGTAAGGGAGCCTTGATTGGGATCTGGGTGAAGGAAAGAGGAAAGAGTTAGGGGAGCAGAAGCTAATTGCAAAAGATGTAGAACATGGTAGTGCTGAGCACACTCCTTTCCCATCATCTTTTTCTTTGTAAAGATGGGGTGAAGAGCAGAGAGGGAAAAGTATTAATAGTGTGGAGGGAGAAAATGACCCACTAAGGACAAGGAAATGTCCTAAGACATTTTTTTTCTAAGGAATATCTCTCTTTTTTTTTTGTGAGGCAATTGGGGTTAAGTGACTTGCCCAAGGTCACACAGCTAGTGAGTGTCAAGTGTCTGAGGCCGGATTTAAACTCAGGTCCTCCTGACTCCAAGGCTGGAGGTTTATCCACTGCACCATCTAGCTGCCCCCAGGAATATATCTCTTACATAGGCAGAATATGCAGTTATCTGGGTAATATAATACGAGGCATACCCCTTTGCACACAAATAATCTCCCTCACCTAGATGCTCTAGTGTCTGAACTTTCACCTTTAGGGATTCATTTTTTGGCTTGATATTACCCTCTCCAGGCATCCTACTTAAAAAATACAAATATACCTGGGAAAGCCATAACTATTAGCACCTTTTACACTTTCAACCAAGGAAAATGGAATTTTAAGTTTTTAACTCATTTCTCATTCACCTCTTGGGCCTGAAAAGTTGCCTTATTAATAGTAAACTTAAAACTCTCTGTTCTTAGTCCTTCTTCCTACAGAGGTAGATGTGTAGGTTGTTTACTGACTGTATTTGTCCTATGATTCCACAGGGTGATGAGAAAGAGTTGAAACAGCAAGGCCATTCTCTTCTGTTTAAAACCATATAGGAAACTATGCACCAGAAATTGTTTTCATAAGCAATTAAGCAACAAACTTCATCAGAATGAATTATTATCTCATCAAGCCATCTTGGGTTCTGAGCAGTTGTTTATCTAGTCCAGCCCCTTCATTTTATGGATGAGGAGACAGACCCAGAGAAATGAAGAATTTACACAAGATAATACAACTTCTTAGTGGCAGACCCCAGACTAGAACCTACATTTCCTAACTCCCAAGTTTGACATTCTCTTCACCATACCACATTGCTTCTAATCTTCCCTAACTGATTCATCTCTATCTTCACTTTGAAAATTACCTATTTTCCCTGCCTTCCTCTATTTCTAGTTCCTAATTCTATTTTGTATTCTCTTCCCTTTAAAAGCTTACCAAGAATTCTCCCCAGTCTCTGCTTAACTTTCATTTTGTCCTTACTATTCTTTTCCCCTTTGTATCGTCAGAGACCTCCGAAGTGTGCTTGAGAGAAAAGGGAAAGTTTCAGAAGCTTTTGTTGGTGTTGTGGCTATTACCTTTTATATAACACAGACACTGACATGCCCTTTGGAATATTCTGTAACTAAGCCTTCATGCATCTTGCAGAATAATTGAATATACAGTACTCTTTCCAGGGACATGTACAACACAGGCATGTAAATATAGACAGATGGGGAAAGCCACTCAGTTAACTACACAGCCCAGAGCTGTACTGTTTTTCCACAAAGAAGGAGGGGAAGGCAATAAATGTTTATTAAGTGCCTACTATGTGGCAGGCACTGTACTAAGCACTTTAGAAATATTATCTTATTTGATCCTCACAACAACCTTAGGAGTTTGCTGTTATCATTATAATTTTACAGTTGAGGAAATTGAGGTAGACAGAGGTTTAGTGACTTGCTTAGGGTCACACACAGCTAGTGAGTGTCTGAGGTTATATTTGAACCAAGGTCTTCCTGATTCCCACCCCAGCACTCTATCCACTGTGCCACCTAGCTTTCAAAGAGGTCCCACCTGTCTCTTTTGCCCTGCCTCCTGTCAGGGCATTCCAATGTATAGCCACAGTATAAGGGCCAGTTTATGGGAAACCAACCCAGAGAATGGAGCTATTTCTACTCTTATAAGAAGCCTCAGAATTGGAGAGACTGGTGCCCTTGAGGCCATTGGCAGCAGTTGCTGCCTTCCTGCTCCCATAGTTGAATTGCCCTGTCTCTTTGTGAGCATCCTTCCCCCCGACACCAACACACTTCCTCTACCCTTCCCTGTCCTGGGAAAAGGTATATTATCTGACCTCCATACATGTACCTGGGGGAAGAGCATGGACAATCTTTCTGTAATTGGCATGCAGTAAAATTGCCAACGAAGGCAATAGTGAAAAGGTCACTGATCTTGTTGTTAAGAGAGACTTGGATCCAAATCCCTCCTCCAATATTTATTGACTGTGGAATCATGAGCCAGCCTGAGTCTCAGTTTCCTCATCTGTAAAAGGGATATAAGAATACTTGCAGTATCTTCCTCACTGGCCCACTGTAAGAAACAAATGAGATGACAGATATAAAGTGCTTTGCAAACATTACCATCCTATGTAAATGTCAACTTGTTATCACCATCTACCATTGGCTGTTGTTGCTTGGACACCTTCTCTAGAGATGGCTATTCTTTGTGTTTAAAAACATATACCTCATGCTTTAGTGGTCAAATGAGATAATATTTGTAAAGCACTTAGTACTGTGCCTGGAACATAGTAGGACCTTAATAAATTCTTGTTGATTGATTGACTTGCCTAGTATTCCTCATAAAGCTTGAAAGTGTCTAGGGAAAGATTCAAATCTAGGTTTCCTGACTTGGGGTCCAGTTCTCCATTTATCATGCCCAATTACATCTTAATAGAACCACCCCCCTGCCTTGACCTGAGGCTTGAATTAAAAGTCATGTTGACCAGGAACTGAGCTGTATAAGTGAGATCCCTTGGATTGAAATTAGGCTGTTGGTCAGCCCTTCTCTCTGGGTTAGCCTAACTGAAGGATTTAGGTGCCACAGTGGAATTTTGGGAAGGATTGAATCTTTACTGTTATGAACTAAATGCATTGCCCTGAGCTCCAATTGAGATACCAGGGTTGTGACATCCAACTCATTGACGCGCAAAAGCTATTTTCAAGGCCATGTTGACCACTGCTAAAACTTTGCAGCCTGAGTGATTCCTTCCACTGTAATGTCATTGGAATGGTTTCCTGTTATGTTATAGTTGAAAGAGCCCAGGATTTGGAATCAGAGAACCTAAGTTCAAATCTTAGCTTTTGGTATTTATTGCCTGCATGACCTCCATAAACTGGCAACTTAACAGGCAAGTTACTTTCCCTCTGGGAGACTCAGTTTCTTGAGTAAAAATAAGAGGTTGGAATGAATGTGCCTTCAAGCTCTAAATCTTGTGATCCTATGAACTCTCCTCCTAGGGGAGCTCCCTCTACCTATTGTTCCTGGAGTACAGAATAAAAAACAATAGCAGACTTTTAGTCAGCAATAACGCACTACAACCAAGTTTATGGGTGGAAATAACATGGTCATTTATACGAGTTGTTCATCTAGCCCAACAGACCTTCTAGTGTTTACTGCGGGGGGGGGGGGGGGGGGGGGGGGGGGGGGGGGAAGGTATGGACGTCATGGAAAGCATGAAGGAAGAAAGGTAGAATCCATTGAACTCACTTCAAGATCCCACAACAACTGCCTTCTAGGATGTCTGACTCAAGTATGTTTGAAATAATAGAGAATGTATTGTCAAGGATGCAGTGATGACTTTGTGAGTGTCATTGCTCTCTAGCCCTTTGGTGTAGTTCAGGGGTGGGGAACCTGCGACCTTAAGGCCCTTCTAGGTCCTTAAGTGCAGCCTTTTGACTGAATCCAAATTTTACAGAACAAATTCTTTCACTTTTATTAATGCATTTTTGTTCATTTTTTATATTTTTATTTTGTTTTTAAAATGAACGTATTTAATACACCAAAGAATAAAAAAAGTTTCAATGAAATAATCCTCCTGGATTGACTGGCACAATTAGAACATTAGTAAGTCATAAGGGCTAAATTGATGGCTGCTATGCGTGTTATTTAGTTCTAACTTCCTCCGCCTGACTGGAACCACTACTGCACAGCGCTGGTTTGGCGAGAGTTTATGGGGGTCGACTATGCCAGTCTGTTATCAGCTTTTGACAGTGGTGCACTGTGTTTCTGTTTGGAGTTTTTGAATAGTTGCACAGCTTGATAGTATTTTTTAATTCTATTTGCTTAACAGCCCATCATATCAAAGAAGACCAAGAGAACGCTGAAGGAAGAAAACAGATTTTTTTTTTTAATGAGGATCGGGAATTGCAATATCATTTTGTTTCTGCTAAAGATAAGATTATTTGCTTGCTTTGTGATAATGCAATATCAACATTAAAGAAATTCAACGCTCGTCAGCATTATAACACTCATAAGGACCACAAATATTTTAAATTAGAAGGAGAGGTGTGAAAGGTTGTATTGCAGAAATTAAAAGATGAAAAGCAAAAGCAAAGACAATTCTTTCAAGCAGCAATAAGACCTGGAAATAACGCCACTGAAGCAACTTATAAAGTAGCTTATATATTTGGAAGAAAAGGGAAGTCATTCGGTGTTGTAGAAATTATGAAACAATGCATTGTTGAAGTTGTAGAATGCTTAGACCCTGATAACATTTCAAAGTACAAACAACTGCCTCTTTCAAGGAGAACCATAAGTGATTGGCAGTAGGAATTAGCCTTCAACTTAACAGATTAATTTCATGCAATACTTCAAAAGGAAAATATACATTATTCAATAGCTTTGGATGAATCAACTGATATTACTGACTCAGCACACATTTTGTACTTCATTTGGGTGACAACAGAAGATTTTTTTTGCATCAAAGAATTTCTTGCTTTGGGTACTCTTTTTAAAAAAAATTTTTTTTTTAGGCAATTGAGGTTAAGTGACTTGCCCATGGTCACACAGCTAGCAAGTGTCAAGTGTTTGGTCTGAGGCGGGTCCTCCTGACTTCAGGGCCAGTGCTTTATCCACTGCACCACCTAGCTGCCCCTGGGCACTCTTGTGAACAGAACACAGAGAATAGATATTTTCAACAACTTTCAAGATAAATGTTGTGAAGTTGGACTGAATTTGGTAAATTTAATGAGTATATGTACAGATGGTACACTTTTCATGACAGGAAAACATGAAGGGTTTATTGCACAGTTTAAAAAAAAAAAAGCATTAACAGATCCAGATGCTCTCTTTTCTTTTCATTCTATCTTACATCAGCAAAATCTCTATGCTAAACCTACTATTTCCAGTGATACTTTGCAACAAGTTATAAGTATTATTAACTATATTTGTGCAAATGCAACATGACATCATCAGTTTTGTAATGGGCTAAAGTTGAACAATGAGGTATTCAACTGGATTTGCTGTATCATTCTAATGTGCATTGGCTATCACAGGGACAGGTGTTAGTCAAAATTTTATCTCTGCAAGAACAAATAGTTAAATTTTTATGAAGAACAGAATCAGCAATGTCAATTATTGAAAGATTTGTATAGGAATGCTGCATTTCTGTGTGATATGTGAAATTAAAATGACTTGAATATTTCTTTGCAAGGTAAAACTAAGTCTATATATAACGTGTGGCAAAAAATCCAAGCATTTTGAAAAAAAGCTGTCTTTTTAAAAATACTTCTTCTTCAAAATGAAATTTCAGATGAAATTTTCCCCAGTTGGCAAAGGTCATTGATGAGCAGGATGATATATGTGTTGTAGTTTCATGTGTAATCATCTTTTTTATTATAGTATGTTATAAAAATGTTTGTTTTATTCCATAAATTAAAAATAAGATAAATTTTTTAAAAAAGAAGTTTGATTATTTTTTAAAATTCATTTATTTTTTATTTTTAGTTTTCAACATTCACTTCCACAAGATTTTGAGTTCCAAAGTTTCTCCCCATCTCACCCCTCCCCCACTCCAAGATGGCATGCATTCTGAATACCCCTTCCCCTATCCCCTGAATATCTCTATGCCCTCCCTTCTATCACCCCCTTTCTCTTATTCCCTTCATCTTCTCTTTTCCTGTAGGGCAGGATAGATTTCTATACCCCATTGCCTGTATATCTTATTTCCCAGTTGCAAGTGAAAACAATTTTTAACATTTGTTTTTAAACTTTGGGTTCCAAATTTTCTCCCTTCCTCCCTCCCCACCCACCCTCACTGAGAAGGCAAGCAACTGGATTCAGGTTATATATGTGTAGTCATGCAAAACAAGGAAGTTTGATTATTAACAGAAAGGATGTGTGCCTTAACTCTAATAGTCTGGTACCGATATTGTTCATTGCATTTGATCCAAATTGTTTTGCCTCTTAATGTTGTCTATATTTGAAAGGTCATAGTGCTTGTGGTTATTGGGTCTATTGTCCTTTTGGATTTACTTTCTTTTATTTTGCATCCTTACACATACATATTCCCATATTTCTCTGAAGTCTTTATATTTGGCCCTAATTATGGTACTATTCCATTACATTCATATACTGTGGCTTTTTCAGCCTCTTGCTGACGTTTCTATTATGTACTGGCACTGTAACAAGTTACCTGTGGCTCCCATGTTCTCCTCTTTCTGTCTCTATTACTGTCTCTATCTCTTTGTCTCACTCTGTCTCTGTCTCCTTCTGTCTCTGTCTCTCAAGGACTTTGCCCCCATGATTAGATAGATGCCTTCTCATCCTGAAGCATCTTTTTGCCTTTGTGGCCCCCTTCTTTCACTGGTGAGCTCCTCCAGAACCCCCATCTTGAGGACAGTCTTAGGACAGCCATCCTTCATTCCTCACCTGGCTCTGCTGACTCTAGATTTCACCACCATGCTCCCACGCAGGTACCTTCTCCCACTTTTCAGCTCCTTTTATATGGTGTCTTCCTTATTAGAACGTGAGCTTCCTGAGGATAGGGACTGTCTTTCTGCTTGTATTAGTATTCCCAGCATTTAGCAGAGCACATAGTAAGTGCTTTACAAAGCACTTACTTGACTTTTCTTATCATGCGGTAAGCACATAAGAGAAGGGCAAACAAAGTCCTAGGTGAAGTCAGAGAGAAACAGACACCTTCTTCACCATCACTGTAAAGAGGAGGCTTCTCCTCTCCAGCAGAGTGCCTGCTTTACATTGATGCTAGAGGTGAAAAGGCAGATATGTAAATAAGGGACAGGCAATGCTCACTCATTTCACCTCCTAGGGGAAAAATTGGAATAACTCTTCCCAGAGCACTTTCTGACTGTCACCAGACCAAGCTTCAAGCCCTGATTTGCCGTCCCCAGGCCTCTGGCACTGGTTAGCTTAGGTCCTTCTATTCCTGGTCTTCCTTTTAGTTACTTGTTCAGATTCTCTGTCTATGGTAGGAAAACTTTCCCAAACAAGTCATAATTTATCAAAATGGATCCTATCTTCTTTCCTATGGGATTCTAATCTCTTTCTCAATTTGGCATAACCTAAAAGGATTATACACTCCTGTTATAGATCAGAATACACTTGCTGAATGGAATCAGAGTAAAAGATATAACCTTGAAACTCTCAGGTGGCCGAGCCAAGCCATTAACCAGAAAGGTCTGAAATATTAATGTCCCTGTGGTTACAACGGCTCCTGTTAAGATCTGTGTCTTCAATTCACTTTTTGTCAACATCAGGGACCTGATGGTCCTACAGGCCTTTTGTAGAGAAGGGCTATTAGTGTCCATCTCCATCTCTCTCCCCCCATATCACAGTTTTAAAAAGTCAGAAAGGGAACCATTTCTCTGAGTTTCAAGTGGCAATCCCCTACCCCAATTTCTGTTAGGTGACCACCAGGAGAAAGCCTTCGACTTCTGATACTGAGCAGGCAACTAACCAGCTCACCCATAGTTCCAAGGTAAGGAGTCATCTCATCTCTTCATCTTGTTTCTGGCTAGTAAGTCTTTCTTGTGTGGCTGACATTTCCTTGTGCTACTGTCATGTTTAGAGCTGGCTACCTACCTAACAGTCAAAGCAACCCATCCTCTGCACCATGATGAAAACTGTTCATGCTTTCTCTCTCTCTCTCTCTCTCCTCTTCTCTCCTCTCCTCATCTACCCTCCCCTCCCCTCCTCTCTTCTCTTCTCTTCTCTTCTCTTCTCTTCTCTTCTCTTCTCTTC